TTTTATCGTTATAACAAATAAACAAATATCAGGAAACCAAGTTTGAGTTTTTTTTCTGAAATCTACCAGGGGAAGTGAATTGAAATGAAAAAAATAAATTGTGTCAAATGTATGTATTTACCTATAAGAAATACAAATAATTCATTTATAATAACTTTACATGATTCATGTAACATGTGTGTCAAGTGCCATGGAATAAATAACACTGGCAGAATGAAGTTTTTAATGTCCTTTTTACGAGACGTGTGTTTATTGCTTTCCTAAAGTGCTTCATAGTTTTTACTAAAAAACTCATAAAAGTAAAGATATTAGGAAAGTCATCCTAGTTTTTTTTTAAAAGTTAAAAATGTATTTTTTACTTTTTGTTTCTAGAAAACTTTATAACATTGTTAACACTCGAGAAACAGAAAACGTTTGAATTGCCTTACTTCTTTTGAAAGTTTATTGCATAAACATTTCATTTCATACAGAACTTAAACATAATTAAGATAAATCAAATGCACAAATATCTGACTTAACAAAAAATACAAACGATATGCTTCAAACCGCCAGGTAAGTCTGGATTCCTTAAAATTTCCCGAGAGGGGCATGTTGGTTGCACAAACAAACAAAAAGCAAAACGATATGCACCTAAATACAAAGACCGCGTCAAACAAAAAACAAAGGCGTGCGTCGTTGTGAGAGCCATTTTGTAAAAGTAAATCAGTATAGTTAACAAACAGATAAGATAAAGAGCAAACGACCTATGTGATTATACAAACTTGTATTTTCAGAGCTTATGTTTATTTCTGATGGCAAGACAATACGCTTATGATATTGGACATTTAAAATAAAATGATATTCTAAAATTTTCGTGTTAATTATGATTTGTATTTTTGCATAAAAATGCATATAAATGTATATTATTGAATAACACTGTTTGAATATTTTAACAAATTTAATAATTAGTCATTCACGGGCAGTCATTTATAACCACAATCCGCCAAAAATCAACAAACGGCAATGCATATTTTTATAGATTTCAAACAACTTAAACAACCTAAATAGCTTAGAACTAAGAAAATTGTCATTGCGTCTAAAGCTTCTAAAACAGTTACTTAAACAACTTAAATAGCTTAAGAACTTAAAAAAATTGTCACATTTGCGTCTAAAGCTTCTAAAACAGGATAACCGCTATCATAAATTACGAAATATTTTACAAAATTTTAAATCGTAATTTTGATTTAATTTCAAAATTCCCAATAAGCGATTTATATACTCTTCTGGACAAGGGATTAGCCAGTCTGGTTTTTATGGCGATGTGATTTACAAACTTCGTAAGATTTTGGGTCATGGTAATTATTCTGCTGTTTTACTAAAATCATTAAACGTTTTATTAAAAGAGGTTATGACCCTACTATTTTTAAGTATAACGCGCATGCTTTATGTTCAACCCCCTTTACAGTTGGACCTCTACGCTTTCCTCTTTTGAATAATCTGACGGACCAAGTGGAGACTATGTTGGACAGTTCTTCAAGCCCTTTGGGACTAAATTGTCTTAATGTTCGTGCTTCCCTGCCTTGCTTCGTCGGGCCCTTGTGGTGATCGTCTTGTTGCGCTGTCTTCCTTTACGACATTCGAGTACTTTTGCGACGGTCATTGGGTTTACTTTTATATGTTTTCTACATGATCATTCTGGTGTTTTACTTATTTAACCTTCATAACCATAAAACTGTTAGAATTCACCCTAGCTTGGAATTATTTTTAATTTACACTGTCTGTCTGGTTTATAGGAAAAAATGTTGGGGTAAGAGTGAAGGTTTAGGTGCACCATTAACCGGGTTTAAAATCCCCAGCAGTACTTGTGCTGCTGAACCGTTCCAAGGGCGGCGCCCCCTTGTGTTCCTCTCAGATGTAGGCTATGTTGTTTTCATACTGTTTTTGGTGAAGAGATTTGGCTTGTGTCCCCCTTGTTTTATACTCGTCTACGGTAATATCTTCCACTTTGCCCTAGCTTTTATTTCTTTGATTAACCCCTCCCCCTTCCCCGGTCTCCTGTCTCCTTCCCCCTGTGCCCTTTGACTTTGTGGGCCTATTATCAATCGTTTATTTTGTTTTCTTTGAATTCCCTTATAGTTACAAATTATTTCCTATTCTTCAATCTTTATTTTTGTTTTCTTTGAATTTCTTATCAGTTACAAATTATTTATCAATTTTAATCGATGAACCTGTCCGGCTTTGTCTTGTGCCCTATCCTGTTTTTTTGTTTGGGGTCCCCTGGGCTCCTTGTCCTTGGTTCTTGTTGCTGGGTCATATGGGGGTTTGCGTTCATTGAACGCCGCCTTTCCCTTGTTGATCTTCCCTTTTTTTTTATCATATTTAACATTATGCTTACAATGTTATCAATTGACATACTTAAGCACAAACTATGGATTAATAAACCTACATTTTATCATTATGTTATAAATACACACACATGGTTTTTCGTTCTGAAATTGATTTGTCACTTATCCCATTTTGTCTGTTTGATAAAGCAAAGGTGATACAGCCGCGCTGTGCATATAAACATAGTAATGCATTATCAATTAAGTTATATCTTAACATGTAGATATAACTCCCCCATACGGTGGCATAGAGGTGACATTTGCAGTTTTATTTTATCTCGTGGCCACGACTTATTATCTTGAGGCCTCAAGATATTATCTCGTTGCCACGACTTATTATCTCGTGGCATCGACTTATTATCTTGTGGCCTCAAGATATTATCTCGTGGCCACGAGTTTATTAATTTGGTGGCCCAACGACTTATTTTATCCCCTTTCGTGGGCCACGAGTTATTAATCCCTTGTGGGCCTCAAGATGGTTATTTCGTGGCCCACGACTTAAATCTCTTTCGTGGCCACGAATTAAATTATCTTGTGGCCTCAAGATATTATCTTGTTGGCCTCCAAGATATTATCTCGTGGCCAAACGAGTTAATTATCTTGTGGCCACACTTATTATATTGAAGGCCCAACGAACTTATTTTCCCTCGTGGCCACGAGTTAATTTTATCTTTGTTGGCCCCACGACTTATTTTAGCCAAATGAAAATGGTCCTTTTTTCATTTCTTGAAAAAAAATTTAATATCAACACTGGGCAATACAGTCCAACAGGAAAGGGGTGTCAAATTCACCAAACCATAAATATTTAAACTTTAGTTTCACGCATTTTTCCCAGAGACGTGCTGAAAATTTCAGTAAGGATTTAATCAAGCTAAGTATAGTGTTCACTGAGACCACAATTAATCACGTCCACTGAGTAGAGTCTTTGTTACACTTATTTGGCCCTCTGTATTCTTATCTTAATGGTTTTCCCTTTATCGTTTAAGGATCAAGTTTTCTATCTGATGCAGTTTTTCATAAAAATCACACTCACTTTTAAATAAGTGGTCATCACCAGTAGGAAAAGTAATAGCAGTAGCATTGAAGCAGTAGCAGGTAACAAAATTTAATAAAACATGAAAATTGGCAGTAGCAGTAAGCACAGAAGTAGCAGTGAGAAAAATTATAAAACGTGAAATTGGCAGTAGCAATAGCACAGCCAATAAGCAGTACAATCAAAGAAGGAGAATCTTAAAGAATTGACATATGTCTTTGAAAACTTGTATACAGTATGTCAGTTTTTATAAATAAAAAAGAAAAAGAATTCAGATAACCCGTCAAAAGTTTAGTCATTTATCATTGTTGGACATTGTAGTATATCTTCTCCCAAAATAATAACTATCTACGAATACAAGTCTTTAAAGGGTTCGAATTTCCAATAGGGAAAAGGGGCAAGTTACATTTGTCCAAAAATCACTGAATCTTAATTTTAATTGAGTATTAACCTTAAAAATATAAAATCAGTATACATCAACCGCATATATTTCTTAATTAATCTCAATTACATTAGATATACCGTGGCTCATCCTTTGAAAATTAAAAAATAACAGATTTTTTTTTTTAAATATATGGTATTCTAACTTAATGCGTCTAACTTGAATAAGAAATCAATAAACTATTGTACAGGGAAGCCTGCGTTCCCTATTAACCCAGGTCAAGGTAATCTTTACTTAAAAAAACTGACAATATATATATTCCCATGGTGAACACCTAATACCTGTGTTAAGAATTTTAAAACATAACATTATCTACTATCTTTGAAGTTCAAAACATGTTCATTTTATGTTTTACATGTCAAAGGGAAATTTGAAAACAATTATCAATTTTTTAAAAATTTTAAATTTAAGAAAGTATATTTTTAAGAAGAATGAAGAAACCCCTGACCAAAACAAAAAAAAAAATAATAATTAAAAAAACGTTTCCTTTTTTTTCCCCGGGCCGGCAGCGTTGACCCGCCCCCCCTCTTGTAAAGTTTTGTTGGCCAGGGGTAAAATATAAAGGGCCCCTTTTTTGGTTTATTAACTTTTTTTTTAAAAGGATGGAAATGCCCATTTTCTTTGGGGCCTAAAATAAGTCTTTGGCCCCAAAAAGATAAAAATTTTCGTGGCCACAAGATAAAAAAAGTCGGGGCCCAAAAGATAACATCTTAAAGGCCCCAAAAAGATAATAAACTCGTGCCAGAGATAATAAGTCGTGGCCACGGGAACATAATATCTTGAGGCCACAAGATTAATAACTCGTGGCCACGAGATAATAACTCGTGGCCACAAGATAATAACTCGTGGCCACGAGATAATATCTTGAGGCCACAATATAATAACTCGTGGCCACGAGATAATAAGTCGTGGCAACGAGATAATATCTTGAGGCCTCAAGATAATAAGTCATGGCCACGAGATAAAATAAAACTGCAAATGTCACCTCTATGCCACCGTACCCCCATCTTTTATTGCTACGTGAATCCGATAGCGTATACATTTGTCAGTTAGTTCGCCTTATGTAGCGGGAGTAAAAGGACGTATGGTGAGCTATTTTCATTAGTATTATAAAACATAAATGATATGGAGGATCGATCGATTTTGTGGATACTGAAAATAGATTGAAATTCATAAAACCGAACTATTTTGGTGTATTTTGAACTTAATTGCATTACAGTGTTGTAAAGATATTGATTAATAAATAGGTAAAGGACTTTAAGGTGTTAAATCAGTTTTAATTTAAATACAACATGACATGTGTACTATCAATGAGCCTATTGTATCAGAACCAATACAAAGATAATGCCACAGATTTACAAAACAAGGCGTTTAAATATTTAGATTTTAACTGGAATGTAAACGGTTGCCAACATTCTGGTATTCTTAGGAAACAGACTCATTGTAGCAAATGTCACATTGATACAGACAAAGGTTCATCGAAAATGTGTCAGTTGGAAATTTCAAATGAAATCTTAGAAAATGTTAAATACGTTCAGCACATTGTGCCCTCGCAAATTATGTATGGATCAAAATATAATACACAGATTATTAATGGTAAGTGATATATTTGTTTTTGGTTAACTATCTCTAAAAAATATTACTACAGTAAATTAAACAAGTCCAGTAAACGAATACGTTTTCGTTATAAGAATACACCTAAATGCTCCCATATCAACGGTAGTTTAAATCGTCTGTCTATACCCCTTACACCGTGTCTTTGTTTGGCACGGTATCATGTGTATAACAAGTTTAATCAGTACCAAGTTAATGCTATTATTAAACACAATGTCATCGTATCCTTATCGCCTCGATTTACCTATGGTTTATTTACATATTTTAACATTGTGTACTAGTTCACAATAATGTTCGTTATATTACAACAGTAACTTATTATATATGCCGATTGAATTCTTTGAATGAAATTTAATCCTTACATTTATCTAGATGCATCAGAATATGATAATCATTTCATGTCGGTTGTATGATCTCAACAAGATTTACATTTTCATCAACTTCTTCAGTTGCAGTCAATTTACCTTTGACAGGCTTTAACAATCAAATCACGTGCAAATACCGTCTATCGTACGAAATACATGCGCGATATACCCCGCGTTATAATGAACGATTAATATGATCAGTATACCTATATTAAGATATATGATATTGTCCTAATGTTTTAACATAAATCAAAACCATGATGTATGTTATGATATCATAATTCGACTTTTGAACATATTCTAAAATACGACTTTCTTCCATTTGACTATATCATTGTTTTACGAACATTAAAATGAAACTTTAAATCCATTTCTGGTGTAAACAAATTATAGCATTATAAAAGTAGTAATATAATATTATTTTATGTTCACAGAAAATGATTTAACTCGCACGTCCGACATGTGCATCAGGTCTGATAACGAATTGGGTAAATTTGAGTTTACAAAAATCGGAGTGAAGCGAAAGGCTGACACAGAACATTGTGTTGAAGAGTACATTCCCCCAAAGCGAGTGTCTCCATTCTTAAACACACCAAAGGAAAAGAAAGACGAACGGAAGAACGTTTTAAACATTTCTATGAAAAAAAAAGAGCTTGACGACCCTGAGATCTTTCTCCGAAGAAGTGTTCTTATTAATAATTTGACGGAATGTTTGCAAACGGAGTAACGACAAGAAAAACAAAGCAGTTGGAAGTTAAGCTCAACTAAAAGAAAGTGTCTCAGTGATTACAAAGTGCTCAATAACAGTTGTCTGTCAGACACTTATTTAGATGACGATCCATACCTTAGTGGTTTACATGAAGCAATTACTGACGACATGACAGACACCCTAATCAATAATGTGTTAAATGATAGCGAAATAAAGAAAACAAAAGGTGAATATGATTCCTGATGCACAGTTACTTAAAATTGCCCGAATAAGATGTCATTTAAATATTTATAAAACAACCATTATCAATGTGTTTATGTCATCTTGAAAAGGACATGGCACAGAAATTATTGGAATGCATGGAATACGAAATGTTAATCATGAAATTCAATGTTTATAACTTGACACCATTCCTTGAACATTCAATTATTCAAGTTCAAATGTCATGATGTATGACGTAAAAGATATTACTAAAACATTTTACTATTTAAGATATTTAATGCGTGTGCCGTTCTGTCTGTATCAGTCTGTCTGAATTGTTTGAAGAGAACGACTTTTTATACAGATGACAATAAAAAAGAATTAAATGAGAAACTGAAAGAAAGTTGAACTGTTGAACTTGAAAATAAATCTGGACAAGGTTTTAGAGACACATTCCGTATATTCATTATTTTTTGATTAGCATATACATTGCATCAGGAGGATCTACTTCTGATTTTTCTAACACGTTTGAAATGATGTCATGCGTTTGGATTGGAGGTTATTGATTTATAATAAGTCTTAAAATATATTTATTTTAACAACGGATGGAAACAATTTTGGAACTAAATATTTTGATGTAAGTGGGAAATATCAAAACAACATAATTATTAAAATGTGCAGTCTAAGTGTTTAAAGTACAAAGTTACGTATCTGTTTTATGATTTCATAAATTATGTATATTTGCCAATAAGGTCTTAAATCGAAACATATTTGCTATGACGATATTTCTTCAAAGTGTACAGAGAACCTTTATAAGAGTTGCCTTTACACTTTTAAACAATGTTTCATTTGTTTATTAATACTTTTTACATGTTAAGAAATAAATAACTCGTTCCTGTTAAAAATATTACGCTTTTTAAATTTACAGCCCACAAAATGAATCATGTTCACACTTTGTCATAGGGCAGACAGGTGCTTGTGTAAAGAATACATATAATAAAGATAAAAATCTACATTCAGTTTTAAACAAGTTATCATGTTTGCCTTTGTGATGTTATGGATGAAATCAAGTTAGTTCAATTAAAATAATATTAAAAGAATATTTATAAAATTTTGAAATGAATATTATAGCTTTAAAAGCTTTATATAACTATAAGGAATAAACATTTAATATATATATTGTTGTTTTGTTTACGTCTTCATATCTTACCGGTTTTGTTGTGCCCACGAAACGTCATCAATATTCTAGTTGTAAAAAACATTGAACATAAAATACATTGAACTATTTCACAATCATGTTATTACCCCCCCCCCCCCCGTTACAATTTTCCAAAACTCTTTTTCCCATATTCATGAACTATCTTTTGCTACTTTGTTCTATTGGCAATCGCTTTTATTAAAACGAATTGCTTTTTGCGGAAGTCAAAATACTACTTTGTTTACATTTACTACCTTAAACGCAACGTTTATCGCCACTGTCTTCAGTGATTATGTTGCATCAGCTTTCTCGAATGCCCATATTTTAGATCATTGACATTTATAAAAAGTCAGGAAATATGGATTTCTGAGGCATAATGTACCTTTTATTCAAAATAAGTACAACTTTAACTCAGTTGTAGTTTAAAACATTTATACGTCTAAATATTAAATAATTCAAACATATTACCTAATAATATTATGATATTTGGAATATTGTATTCATTTCTAAAGTAAATGTAAATTACAAAAAAAATCTGAATTTTAATGCATTGGTGTCTAGTTATACTTTAGAGGTTAATCAGAAATATTTAAAGATCTAAATCCACACACAGAATTTCATTAACTCGTTCTTTCATATTGAAAGTTTCTTAGATAAAAATTGGAGATTCCTACATACATAAATAAAAATCAGAATGAAAACATGCCCCATAACATAGGCTTCAACCCGAAATATTTGGAATCAATGATACTGTTTGACAGCAAGTACACCTTCATACTGCTGATAAACTGCAGTTAACTGTATTTTTTAAAAATCACTCGTAACATCATTTACTTATATACTATAAAGCCTGATAATAAGAATCAGAAGATTTAGAACACGTGCACTTTGATTTGTTTTAGATACAAATTGTTTCTTCAAAATTAGACCCCTTTGTTTACAAAACTCAAATTTTTATTTGCATGTCTAGACAATTTCAAAGTATCATTTTTCTTGGAAATTATGCAAGCTTTTATTTGTTTGACAAGTTGTGATCAGCTGTATGTATGAACAGTGGAGAGTCAAGCACGTGGTGTTGTTTTACAATCCCGATAGTGTATTAAATTTTAATACGTTTACACAAGACAAGTGTTGATTTAAACAGATGGCAAGACAGACATTGTTAATGTTGTAACAGTGAATTTGACGAGAAGCATTATTGACACATTACATTTAACTTTGCTACTCTATCAGGGTAATCCTAAAGGGAGGATACATGCATATACTTTTTGATATAGTCTATAATTATCTTCTCGTGCAAACATAAACTATTCAAAGTCATAATTTTCTAGAGGCATAAAACCAAACTCAGTAATTACCATAACTTTTTTTCACTGTCCTGGGAAATTTGAAAAGTAAATAGGCAAATTCTAAAGTTTGAAGAGTTAAAATCATAATAAGTCTACTATTTTTTTCTATTTTTTTTTCTATACGCATTTGCAATTTTGAAATGATATGTTAATCCATGTTTTTCCTTTTGCCTGAAATTAAATGTGTCATTGATGTTTAGTTATATCATAATTATTAAGCATTATGAAAAACAAATAAGCCTTCAATAAAAAATATTTAGAATGCATAGCGCCTGATATAAAAAAGGAAACGCAAAAATATAAACAAGACATTGAATAATGCATTGATTAATTGCCCTATCAATACGGTATCATGAGCGTGCACTTCAAATTACACTCGGAGAGACACGTGACGTCTGCCTCCACCAGTAAAGCAGGAAAGTCGCCATATGAACTTAAGGTTAAAACCAACAAACAAACAACAGTTAAAGGTCAAAAGCAAATAATACTTAACTTGCTGAAAAAATGGAATGAACATAATTATGTTTTTCCACACCTTTCAGCATTGTTGATTGTTATATTTTTATTATCATAATGATACGTAAACTTGTATTATCAAATCAGTAAATTGCATTAAGAATTTTACCATTACATTTTTAAAAAAAAAGATGTCATGAACAAGGAAGAAAAAAGACCTTGCAAGATACCAATCTGCTAATAAAAGATATAAGATTGAAAAAATTCTGGTATTAATCAGGAATGAAGAAAAAATGAATAAACAAATCATTACTGTACATTTAATAATTTTACATATAAAGTGGAAAACAAAGATAATTCTAGTAGGCGCTATGTTTGCATCAGATGTTGCTATAGATGTAGGCGAAATCAAAAGTCAAATCAAATTCACGGTAGGGAATTACGTGTCTTTTACGGTAACGCGTACAGACAATATGGCGGCCTAAAAACCTCGCTTCACATGTGTTTTTCAGGTAATTCTTTATTATATCCCTTTTACTTACATACGAGACCTGTTGCAGCCTACGCGGAATAAAGTATTGTTGCCGCCTATACCTTATTTTCCACCCCTGTGCTCATAGCTTTTACAAACACTCAAAAATTCAACAGAAATTTTCAAGGTGAACAATTATTTTTCGGGTAACATTCACGCAAAATTTGTATTTTTTTATGAATTTGATTAAGCTACGTCGCGTTAGTAAAGAGAAAATGTTCATAGAATTTCTTTATTTGAAAATGTAAATATTCGGCATGTTAAATGTTGACTGGTCATTTTCTATTCCAATACATGAGAGAAAAATGATTTGGGTAACTCCCACGCGTACTTTTATTGTTGATAACTCCCACGCAATATTTTATGTGCAAGCAATATCTATGCAGGTTATAGCCTTGATATTGATTGAACAAAATCATGATTGATGCATTTAGCCTTAAACGTTCAAAGAATTTTGAATAATATTAAAAATACCGCCAAAAGGTCCTGGATAGAATTAAGCCCATATGGATAGCAGAATACATACTCATGTGAATATATTAAATGAAGTTTCGATATAGATGAATTAATCGCAGAAATTAAAATAAAAGTCTCAAATATAAGGAGGTCGATTTCAATTTAAGCACAATTACAGTTGTCATTTTGCATAGTTTGCAGATATGGACGGTTCCAGCTCGGATATTGTTTGTGGATAATGTTGGAAAACATTTGTCTTAATGACCACATAAACTGGCTACTCGGCACAGGACCTTGTAAATGTTGTGGCAAATCGAAACGTGGCAGGTATGGCATTTTACTGTTATTCGTAATATTAAGATTTTAAAGACATTCAAATCATTTTATCACTTAGTCTTTTATGTAACCAACTTTTTTCAAATTAGTGTCTGTATTTAACATTATTATGTTGTGTTTTTTTTTAATCTAAAGCATAAAAGAAAACAACCTAAAGAATATTAGAATGGGTCTTTTATTTTACAAACTAGGTAATAAAATCTAGAGGACTTATGTTTGAATGTCATCTTAATATCAACAGTAAAACCCGTAATGTTTCCGATTTGCTGGGCTATAAAATATTTTACCGCAACATTTATAAGGTCCTGTGCCGAGTAGACTGTTTATGTGGTCAATATTTGAGACCTATCCGTGAATGAAATGTTTCCCATTTTAATCACAAACAATATCCGAGATGGAACCTTCCATATCTGCAAAATATGAAAAATGACAACTGTAATTATACTAATAAAAACAGAAATACAAAACCTCCTTCTAATATTTTAGACTTTTGTATCAAAACACGACCTATTTGAATGATTTGGGTTTGGTAGGCCTTACGCGAAGTTATTGATGTCCTTGGCAATTTATGATTTTACAAGCCATGCCTTTTTGAAATTTGTTTATCATATTATTGTAACCTATAAGCAGATGAAGTGTTGTTCGGCCCATATAATTTTCGCCCCAAGACGATTCGTCAATTTAGCTGTATTAATTTTATATCTAGTGATAGTAAAATTAAGTGTGAATAAGTTTGAAAAATACATTATATCCATTGCATTATCAAAACAAATATTGATTAAACTGTTTGAGGTTAAATAACAAAGATGAGTGTTAAATTTTAAGTTTAATTGCCGTGAATTTATAGGGAATAACAAATCTATTTTATATTCTAGATCCTGGTCCTGGCTGAAATTTAGAGTATTACAGCTGTAGCTTGTATACCATAAATTTAAAATGGAAAAGACTGTTCTTGGGAAAGTGCTGACGTAACTGATGTGAGCAGTTTTTCTTACCAATCATAGGTCAGACTTAAATAGCTTCTTTTTAAAAAGTTTTTGTTGTTTTTTTGTACATAATTTACTGTCAATATGAAACTTCAGCTGTATCTTAATTTCTATGCTTTTTTATTATGTAAATCTTAGAGATAAGCATTTTAAGATAAAACAAATCACTAAGCCTAGTTGATTAATTATATATATAATTTGAGATTGACCAAGTCAATTTTAACTAGTAATTTCTTATTTTATTTGCAGAAGCGATAGAAGTATTCAAACACCATCATGAAACACTTAAGACATACCCAGAGAGCTCTAGAAGAAGTACTAGTGGTAGATTGGAACAGATTGTATCTTAATTGTTAAACTAAAAGGATTTCTTAAATCGTTTGAATTTAAGCTACACTTGAACTGTAATTTTGAAGTATTTAATAATGTCTTGATTTTTTTTTGTTAAACTCTGTTACAGTACTTTGCTTTATATTAGAATTAAAGTATGTTGAAATGACATTGAAACTTCAACGTTGTGCCAACGTTGAACTTCAACGTTTTTTAAACTTTCAAATTCGAACATAAATCCAACGTTATTTCAACGTTGAAATCTGACCATACTTCAACGTTGTTCAACGTTGATGTGCCTGCTGGGTTAATTCTATCAAGGCCCTATTGGCGGTATTTTTAATATTATTCAAAATTCTATGAAAGTTTGATGCTGAATGTATCAATCATGATTTTTTTTTCAATCAATATCTAGGCTATAACCTGCATAGATATTGCTTGCACATAAAATATTGCGTGGGAGTTATCAACAATAAAAGTACGCGTGGGAGTTACCCAAATCATTTTTCTCTCGTGTAATGGAATAGAAAATGA